GACCACGCTGATACAACCACGCTGATACAATCAGAAAATGTTGCTGATGATCAAAGGAGAAGATGGGGGATCTAGGCCTTCTCATGGTCTCAGACCTTTTATGAGCTTCAGAGGCATCCAGATACATCTGGAGAGCTCCACATACTTCTGGGGGCTGTGGGGGACCTCCAGCGACTTCATATGGGAGGGAGGGAAAGATGAGGAGGTAGGAGGGAGAGTGAGGAGGAGGAGGAGGAGGAGGAGGAGGAGGAGCAGGAGGAGGAGGAGGAAGAGAAGGGGAGGAGGAGGAGGGGGAGGGGGAGGAGGGGGAGGAGGAAGAGGAGGAGGAGGAGGAGGAGGAGGAGGGATGAGGAGGAGGAGGAGACGAAGGAGCAGACGGAGGACGAGGAGGACGAGGGGTGGCGAGGTCCCTGGAGGCCTCGGTGGATCCCAGGGGCCTCCGGTCGGGGTCCCCACGGGGCCCGGACGCTGAAGTCGGAGGCCCCACCCAGGGGCAGCAGTTGCGGAAGCTGCCTCCGGCCGCTGCTGCTGTTGCCTTCGGGGTGCGGCCGTGCTCCCCCCCCCCCCGTTCGATGCTCCTCGGGACGCGTGCTGGCCCAAGGGGGGCTCTGCTCAGTATCGTTTAGCCGACCCCCATCCCCAGCCTCATCCCCTTCGAGACCCCCCACCAAATTCTAGACGCTTCGCGCAACCCCACCAGGACGTTTCGCTGGCGCTGTCAGAACCTTTCTCCTGCTGGACGACGTCACCAGTTACTGTCTGCCCATACCCGTCAGACTCCTGGATTGACTTTCTCGCACGGGGACCGTTCCCTACCACGCGGTTGTCTCTACACGATCGCGGCCTGGGACGTACTGCGCGCCATTTTGGCTGCGCCTGGCTCGCCCGAGGGCTGACCTTTCAGACTCCCTGGGTTGCAGCTTGCACGCCCGTCTCAGGTGGCTGAACTTTCAGACTCCCTGGGATTGCACGACCGCCTGGCCTCTCAGACGCCCTGGGTTGCCGCTGCTTGCCGCCTGATCCGCGGCCCCGCGCGCGCTCGGGAATTTAGTCGCGGCCGCAGCCCGACCGTGACTGTTCGCCGCCGGCGCTTCCGCCTGGGTTTTTTTTATCATGATTCGTATTCTTTTAATAATTATAATAATAATAATAATAATAATAATAGTAATAATAATAATATGTAAGAAGAAAAAAAAAAAAAAAAAAAAAAAAAAAAAAAAAAAAAAAAAAAAAAAAAAAAAAAAAAAAAAAAAAAAAAAAAAAAAAAAAAAAAAAAACACGACCCGGACGTACGACCCGCCGCTTGCGTTTTCGCCCGCGGCCGCGACCAAAAAAAATAACCCCACCAGCGTAGTCCGGTCAGCTTAGGTGCTGCTTTGGCCGCTGGCTGTCGGCGCGTTAGGCAATTAGGTTCGCGCGTAGCCCGCCCGATTCTTGACGCTGCTGGCGCGCTCGCCTGCGGCCGCGACGCGAAAAAGTAACCCCACCAGCCCAGGCCTCGTGGAGGCCTCTGGGGCGCCTGTTGGGGCCTCCTGGGGCCTCCTGGGCGCCTCTTGGGGCCCTCTTGAAGCGCTCTTGGGAGCCTTGGGAGCGCTCTTGGAGCCCTCTTGGGCCATCTTGGAGTCATCTTGAAGCTTCGGATGGCCATCGGAAGCGAAAACGCGAGAAAGCCCAAAACATTGATTGTCCTAAGGTTTTGGAAGGATTTTTGCCTCTTCGAGGCCTCCTGGGGGAGCTCTTTGGCCACTTGGAGCGGTCTTGAAGCGGTCTTGGGGCCTCTTGGAACATCGTGGGAGCCATCTTGAAGCATCTTGGGACGGAGCTCATTCTGGATTCCGGCAGAACAGCTCAGCGGGGTCGGCTCGAATTTGCATTCTGGGAATTTGTTCTAAGCGTTCCCCGATACGTTGGCCCGGAACCTCTCCTGAAGTTCCTGGCTTGGGGGCCTCTTTGGGGCATCCTGGGGGCCTTGGGGGTTTCTTGCAGCCATCGTGGGGCCATCTCGGGGCCTCTTGGGGCCTCCTGGGCGCCTCTTGGGGCCATCTTGGAGGAGATCGATCACAGGAAGGGGGGGGGTCAATTAGCCCTTCCCTTCGGGAGGCCAGCATGGGGCCAAAACCTTACTGAAACCAATGAGTTCGGTTTCCTCGCCGAGGCCGTTTTGGACGCTCCAACGCGGCGCGGAACCCCCCGTCCAGGGGAAGAGGCAGGAGAAGGGGTCAAGACTTCCTCCCCGCCCGCAAGCCGTCTCGCTCACGCCCACCCGCCCTCCGAACACATACGTAGCACCCAAGTCCGGCCGAGCCTCAGCGTATTCAGCAGTCGTCTTTGGATGGGCAGCCACTGGGGGCCAATCCGCCGCCGCAGCCGCAGCCGCAGCCGCAACCGCCGCCGCCGCCGCCGCCGCCGCCGCCGCCGCCGCCGCTGCCCGCCGCCGCCGCCGCGCTGCCGCCGCCGCCGCGCCGTCGCCGCCTCCGCCGCCGCGCCGCCCGCCGCCGCCGCCGCCGCGCGCCGCCGCCGCCGCCCCCCCCGCTGCCAAATCGCCGCCGCGCAGCCGCCGCAGCCGTTGCCGCCACTGCCGCCGCCGCCAACGCCGCCGCGCAGCCCGCCGCCGCCGCCGCCGCCGCGCGCGCCGCCGCCGCCGCCGCCGCCGCCGCCGCACCGCCGCCGCCCCACCCCCGCTGCCAAATCGCCGCCGCGGCAGCCGCTGCCGCCGCAGCCGCTGCCGCCATCGCCGCCGCCGCCGCCGCCGCCGCAGCCGCCGCCGCCGCCGCCGCCGCCGCCGCCCCCGCCGCCCCCGCCGCCACCGCCGCCGCCGCAGCCGCCGCCGCCACAGCCGCCGCAGCCGCCCCAGCCGCCGCCGCCGCCGCCAAGTGTACTCTGTTTTGTTTTTGGACAGGGATGGTGGGGGGAGGCCGCATCGGGTTGGCTGCGCATGCTCCGAATTCGGAGGCAGAGTGTGCTCTGCATGGTTTTTTGTTCACGAGGGGCCGTCATGGTTCCTGGTTGGTTACCAGTCGCCTGGGGGAGGGGGTGTTTGTTAATAGGGTACAGTGATAAGCCCTTCCCAGAAGGGAAGAAGAAATTCCTTAAACCACCTACGCCCAGAACGGCCAATATCCCCCACGTAGGGGAGTATATCGGCCGGTGGGGCCCAGGCCACGCCGCCAGAGATGGGGATCGGATAAACGATACACATCGGAGTTCCTCGGGACGCGTGCTGGCCCAGGGGGCCTGTCCCGTCCGGCACCACCCACGGTGCGCACCACCAGCACTTGATGGGCTTGTTTTCCACCACCACCACCACCACCACCATAAGCTGGGGGGGGCGGAGGAGGAGAAAAAGGAGGAGGAGGAAGAGGAGGACCCCCTACCCCTCCAATTTATGGTGGTGGTGGTGGTGGAAAACAGGCCCATCAGCATTGTGCCTGCCATCGCGAGACGCGTCGCGAAGGGCGAACCGAGCGCTCGGCGGCGTCGGCACGGAGGGCCGCCAGGCCCCCAGGGCGGGTGCGGCAATCTGACCGGGGACCCCCACCCCATTTATCAAGCAGTAGCGAGGCGTCTTGGCGTGCTTACACGCCTACCAAACAATTGTCTAAGAACCGTTTGTGGCTTCCACGAAATGTTCTTAGAACATTTCTGGCGGGGGCTGTCTTGATTTAACCCACCGGGCGTATGTTCTAAGAACATTGTTATTGTTCTTAGAACATCTGGGGTTTCTAAGAACACTCCGTGGTAGGCCTATAGGAATGCCGGGACGGTCGGTTCCTGCTCAACCTTACCCCCCCTTACCCCCCCCAGTCAGGGAGGGGAGAAGGGGAGGAAATCGATTGAATTACATGGTGTATTTCTCTTTGTTTGTTTCTAGATCTGCTTGGGATTACCCCTCCCCCTACCCCTCCATGATGGGCCTGTCTTCCACCACCACCACCACCACCACCAGAAGTTGGAGGGGGAAGGAGGTGGAGGATGAGGAGGAGGAAGAAGAGGAGGAGGAGGAGGAGGAGAGACCCCCTCCCCCTCCAACTTATGGTGGTGGTGGTGGAAAACAAGCCCATCACCCCAGTCAAGGAGGGGAGAAGGGGAGTAAGTCGACTGGATTACAGGGTTTGTTTTTCTCTGTTCGTTTCTAGATTTGATTGGGATTGGCAACGACGACGAAGACGATGACAGCCTCTCACACACGCGGGAGGGTCGGCGCATTTTGTCTCGAATGAAGATGAAGGAGTTTCCCCAGGGTTGGTTCGGGATACGTTCGCCTCGACGGGAGAGGAGGGAGCTCCACGCTCCACCAAGGTTGACTCGAGATGTTTTTGCCTCGAGGGGAAGGCCCCAACCAGGCCAAGATCGCCTCTTCCTCTTTGGTCTGGTCAGGGCCTCCCTCCTCCTTGGTGTTTGTCTGGCCGCGGCCTCCCACTGCGCCCCCGCCGCGCGCCAGGTATTTTTCTGACTTCTTCCCGGCCATCCAGTGGCTCATACAGCGCAGGGCGCCAGCTCTCTCTCTCTCTCTCTCTCTTTCTCTCTCTCTCTCTCTCTCTCTCTCTCTCTCGGGTCGGACCAGGAGGGGGGGGGGATTGTGAGAGGAGTGGCTCGGTGTTTTCGGACGGTTTCGGAATTTGAGGCTCGAGGTTTTCGGACATGTTCACCCGTTCTCAACCGTGCTCCACCCTCGGGGTGCTCTTCAGCAGCTGCGCCTCGCCAGGGGCGTTCCGGGGCTGCTCGAACCGTCCCGAACGGCCGCCGCAGGCCCGAGTTCTGAACCAAAGGCCAGACGACGAGGATCATCCGTGTCGTCCGACCTGCTCCGAGTGCTGCTCGCTCCTCCGCCCTCCATGCTCCACCCTCCCTGGCGGCGGCGAGGGCGAGGGCGAGGGAGGAGGAGGAGGCGGAACAGGATGAGGAGGCGGAGAAGGAGGAGGAGGCGGAGGAGGAGGAGGGAGGAGGAAGAGGCTCAAGGTTGCCCATCCGGCGCCTGCGGTCTGGGCAGCGGCGGCGAGGGCGGCTTTGCGGACGGCCGTTGGGCCCCCGATGGCCGCCGCCGCAGCGGCGTGCCACCTGGAGCGCTGGACCTGGAGGTCCGCCTGGCCCATCGATCCCCTCCCTTCCCTCCCTCCCCTCCCCTCCCTTCCTCCCTCCCTCCCCTCCTCCCTCCCTCTCTCCCTCCCCTCCCTCCCTCCCCTTTTCCCCCCCCCCACGAGGCTCCAGAAGCTACAGGCCTGCCTCCCTCATTCCCTCCCTCCCTCTCCCTCCTCCTCCTCCTCCGCCGCCTCCTCCTCCATACATTTTCCTTTGAACAACTCCTCCCTGTCGCACCCCCAGACGTGTCAGTAGGGCGTGCCAGGCGATTTGTTTGAGATTTCCTCAACATTGAAGTTTGAAGGTTCCAGCAGCTTCACCGATGGAGGGTGGGCCATGTTTAATGTGTGTGTGTGTGTTCGTGTGTCTCACCTTAGCGCCGCGCACATCGTTTTTAAACATTACAGCAGCTTCAAGGATGGAGGGCGGATCGTGTTCAACGTGTGGCTCTCGCCTTAGCGCCGTGCACAGTCGTCCTAAGAGTTTGTAGCAATATCACGGATGGAGGGCGGCTTTCAAAATGTTGTTCTCGCTTTAGCGCCGCGCACATTCGTCTTGAAAGGTTACGGCAGTTTCAAGGGTTCGCATGGTCGAAGTTCCAGGAATAGCGTTCTGGCAAGATTTTGGAGTGCCAGGACACAACATTCAAGTTGATTCGTGGCGTCGAAGTCCCAGGAATGGCGTTTTGGCACGATTTCGGATTATCAGGACGCAACATTCACGTTGATTCGCGGCGATGCAGTCCCAGGAATGGTGTTTTGGCACGATGGAGGATGCTCAGACAGTCGTATTCCAGTCGGGCACTTCCCGCAGTGGAACTGATTATTGTGGGGCCCTGCGCAGAGGGAACTAGGGAGAGTGTATTGCAACATCCCTGATGCGTCTTCCGTTTACACTGGTTCTCCTCCTCCTCCTCCTCCTCCTCCTCCTCCTCCTCCTCCTCCTCCCCTTCCTCCTCCTCCTTGCCCTTCCCCCTCCTCCCCCTCGCAGGACCTCGAAAACCGCTCCTCCTCCTCCTCCTCCTCCTCCTCCTCCTCCTCCTCGGCCCTCCCCCTCCTCCCCCTCCTCGCCCTTCCTCCTCCTCCCCCCCTCCTCCAGGCTCGAGTGCCTGGACGGGGCGGTCCCGTGCGAGCTCTGCCCCGACGCCCCGAGCGCCGCGGCGAGCGCCGACGGCTCGGGCGCCGCCGCGCGGCTGCGGGTGGGCCGCACGGCGCACACAGAGGGCATGTGGTGCTCCCTCCTCCCTCCTCCTCCTCCTCCTCCTTCCTCCTCCTCCTCCTCCTCCTCCAGAATTTCTACATGACAACCGCCTGGAGGATCAATCTTCGGAGACCTCGCGGGCGGTGGATCATCGTGGACATGCACGGGCCCCCTGGGGGCCAGAAGATCTCCAGATCCACCGCCCGCTCGGGCGCCCCGGGCGTCGTTCCCCAGGAGGAGGAGGAGGAGGAGGAGGAGGAGGAGGAGGAGGAGGAGGCGGAGGCGGAGGAGGAGGAGGAGGAGGAATAGGAAGAGGAGGAGGAGGAGGAGGAGGACATGGATACGTCCCCGCCTCGCAGGTGCCGCCTCGTGCCGGACGGCGCCGCGCGGCAGTCCGTGTCCCGGGAGCACTTCGAGGTGGTGTGCGCCAGCTCGGAGGAGGGCCAGTCGGGAGAGCGGCGGGCCTCTCCTCGTCGCCACGGCTGGCTCCCCGTCGACGCACGAGTCTAAGATTAAGCCGGGCGTGCCCCTCTACCTTTGAGCTTCGTCCTTCCCCTGCTTGTCCTGCCCCCAAGCCGCGCTCGGGCGGCGGGCCTCGCCGTCCGTGCTCTGAGAGGCAGTGGGCTCGGCGTCTGGGCATAGCGGGCGGGGCGGCTCGATTGCCAGGCTTCCGCAGCTAGTTTGTGTGCGTGTGCGTGCGTGCGTGCGTGCGTGCGTGTGTGTGTGTGGGGAATGTTCAAAAATAGTTCAGAAATGGTATGGGGACGATTTTTGTTTAACAATGTTTGAATACTTTGGGTGTGTGTTTGGGGGTATTGCTTATTTTTCGTCCAAAATCCACCTGTAGGGGGACAGGCCCGACCTAAGTCTAAGGCTGGATCCCCCAGGCCCGGGACGGGTGCGGAGGGCGCGTTTGAGCGGCTGCGGGTCGGGCGGGGGAACCGTTGTTGCTGCCTCCTCCCCAGACCCCCGGATTCGTGATTTTTTCCCAGCGGCGTCGACCCCCAGAGGTTCAGAGATCCAACACATTGAGAAATCAAGACGGGCTTTTTTCGCTAATTTCGGCCACTCGCCGGGCCCTGGGACCGTAAAAAAACGACTCAGGACGAAAAACCGGTCCTGGGGAATGGGTCGAGACTTCTTGGGACCCGTCTTGAAAAAATCACGACATCGGATCTCTGGGGGGCTCAACCCTTTCCCTGGGACCAGATTGTCATCCTGAGGCGTTTTTTCACGGCCCCGAGGCCCGGCAAGGGCCCCCGGAGGCCGGCAATAGCGAAAAACCGCCCGTCGTGACTTCAGCGGCAAAACCTAAAAAGTGGGAAACAAAAAGAAAGGCCCGCCCGAAAATCGCCACTCGAGGGGGTCTGGATCTGGCCCGCCTCCGACCAGCCACGGCGGCCCGGCCCACTGCGAGCTCCGGAACCTCAGCCAGGGCGGCACCTTCCTCAACGGCGAGCTGATCACCGGCCACGCCCAGTTGCACCCGGGCGATGTGCTCGGCGCCGGGCGCGTGCTCTCGCGCTGCGGCGGCGTGCGCCCGGCGGTGCACTTCCGCCTCTAGAAGAAGAAAAAACGCCATAAACATGAATTGTTGGCGCTCCGCGCGGCTTTCTTCTTGGATCTGCGCTAGACCCCCTTCCCTGGCGCGCGGAGCGCGGATCCAAGAAGTCCGCGCAGAGCGCCAAAAGTTCATGTTTCTGGCGTTGTTTCTTCTCCGAGCTTCGTGGCCGCGCTCGCTGCCGACCCCGCGGCCACGCTGACAGACGCCTGCGCCCCACGCGCCCGCACCGAGGCGCTGCGATACGCGGGCGGCGACGGGGGCGGGCGGCGGCGGCGGCGGCGACGGGCGCGGCGGCGGCAGCGGCGGCGGCGACTGCGGTTGCCGCAGCGGCTGCGGCGGCGGCGACGTCCCCCTCTTCCTCCTCCTCCTCTTCCTCGTCCTCCTCCTCCTCCTCCTCCTCCCTCCTCCTCCTCTCCTCCCTCCCTCCTCCTCCTCTCCTCCTCCCTCCTCATCCTCCTCCTCCTTCCTCTCCTCCTCCTCCTCCTCCTCCTCCTCCTCCCTCCCTCCTCCCCCTCCTCCTCCTCCTCCTCCTGCTCCTCCTCCTCCTCCTCCTCCTCCTCTCAGCGGCGACGGGTGCGGCGGCGGCGGCGGCCCCGAGGCGCTGCCCGGGCCGACGGTGCCGGCGCTGCCGACCGCGCCGGCGCTGGAGGACGAGGAGGAGCTCGCCATGGAGCAGATGGGCTTTGGTGGAGGGTTTCTCCGAAGGGCTCAGGCGACCCGTCCTCCTCCTCTGTCCTCCTCCTCCTCCTCCTCCTCCTCCTCCTCCCCTCCTCTCCTCCTCCCTCCACTCCACTCCTCCTCCTCTTCCTCCTCCTCCTCCTCCTCCGCCTCCTCCGCCTCCGCCTCCACCTCCTCCTCTCGTCCTCCTCCTCGTCCTCCTCCCCTCCTCCTCTCTCCTCCTCCTCCTCCTCCCCCTCCTCCTCCCCTCCTCCCCCTCCCCTCCTCGGGTCGCCTACGGCCCGGGGGAAACCGTCTAGGCTCTGGTCGCCGATATTGTACTTCTTGTTTCGCCGATCGGCGCGGGCCCACGCCCCCCCCCCCAATGACCAGACCGTGACTTTTTGGCGGCTGCGCGACTGGTCAAGACCACTTCCCCCAATCTGCTGGCGCGACTGGCAAAAGCAGATCTACTAAGCACCGGCCCCGGTACAGACCCTCCCCCTCCCCGCCCCTTCGGCCAATTGTCGAAAATCATGGTAAAAAAGCGTCTATCTGGAAACGAGTCCCTTGAAATCCTGCACGTCCTCGACGTTCGATGTTCAAAAGGTTTTCTGACGTGTTCGTCGGTTCGCGGCGGCTTTCCATCCTCAGGGAGCTGCGGCTGTCCCAGCGTCCCAGCACAGCCAATCTCGATCCGAGTGCCCGACTCGATGCTGGCTGCTCCTGGTTTGCCGACGTCGGCGTCGCTTGGTTGCCAGACCCGCGAAGCCCTGCTGTTGTGCACACACTGGTGGACCCCCAGAGGCCTCGACCCATTTCCCCCGACCGGTGTCGCATCTCGACTTGTTTTGTTGCCTGTCTCTCGGGGCCCGGCGAGTCCCCCCGGAGGCGGAAAACGGCGAAACAGAATTGTGGTTGGTGTTTCATACAGCCAGGCGAGGTTCAGGCAAGGCGTAGGTGGACATAGCCGAGGAGAGGCAGAAAGGGACAGACAAGGGAGGAAAGAAGAGGCAGGGAGGGCAGCCAGAACAGAGAAAGGAGAGGCACAGATGAGAGGCGCGCGCGGCGACGAGAGACGAACGACGACAACGACGCCCGCCGCGTCGTGCCTGGCTCAAACAGGCAGCGTTCCTTAGCCTTCAGCTCGAGATGAGCTCAGAGAGGACATCGATCAGCCTCCAGCGCAGATTGCAACAGATGTGTAATCATCAGATGTTGGAGGGCGAAAGAGGGGACATGCAGCAGGAGGTCTTCAATGGGGGCTGAATGGCCCATGAATGCTCCATGTATCGCTCATGTACGTGATCGGGTACGATTGGCATCCAATGTTGGCGGCCACGGAGGGCCAGTCGCTCGTGCCCGCGTGTTGCCCGCGCGGGCAAGCGCGCCGTCCATCCATTATCGTTCATGCGTTCGGGCGTTCTTGCACATAGCGCGTGGGGTGGCGAAGTGGAGTGCATGTGCGTCTTGATTGTGCGATTGATGATCGCGTACTTTCCCAAATAATGACTTGTCGACCCCCAAGAGAGATTCGGAATGGGTTCCGCGATTCTTCCAAAATGGGAGTTCACATGTTCTCCTTTTTTTCCCAGTATGTGAATGCACATTCTGGCCCCTTCATACAGATTCCTACACGGAATTCCAAAATGCGAATTCACATTTTTCTTTTTGTCCAACATGTGAATTCACAGCTTCGTTTCCCCAAAATATGAATTCACCTTTCGCCTTCACCCGCAGCGTGGATTCACATGTTGCCCTGGTCTTCAAGATCCGCAAAACTGAGGCGCAGCGTTCCGCATGTCAGATTGGTTGGGCAGATTATGCACTCACCTCACCGCTCCCGTTTATTCCAACCTTTTTTGTGCGCCCTCAGCGCACGTTGCCTTCGTCGCCTTTCCTGAGCCCCCCTCCCCCTTTGCTTCGTTCACCCTCACTTCTCGCGCATGGGTGCATGCGGGGAACTGCAATCGGTTCCCCCGCCGAGCACAGCAATCGAGGATGCATGGCCCATAAGGCCACCATTGCCGGGACCCTGCGCCCGACCACCATGTTCACCTTCCAACGGTTGTTCAACGCGTCGGAGGTCTGGGTTCGGCACACCCCTCCCACGCCTCGTGGCCCATAGGGAGCTCCACCGAAGACCTTTGCCTGCACGCGATGCTCGCAGCTGCACGTTGCGGGGTTTTTCGCCTGGATATGTGTTTGAGTGCCCCAGGGCCAGGCGAGGGCCCCCAAGCGGCTGAAAACTAAGCTTAAGTCGGGCTTGCCCTTCTACAGGAGGAATGTCCAAAAATAGTCGAAAAATCGACCGGGGACGATTTGTTGATTACTGTCAACCATTTTGGGGTGTTCGACTATGATGTATGTTTCGTCCAAAATCCGCCTGCAGGGAGACATGCCCGACGTAAAACTACACAGGAAAAAACACGATCATCAAATAAGGACCGCTGTGGGTTTTGAAAGGGCGCGCGGTGTTTTACGTCATTCCGTGTTTGTTCCTCCTGGCCCTCTTCGCGCACCCAGGCCCTTTGTGATGCCAAGAAGGAGCTTCGTTCATGATTTGACCATTTCCCACGTTTGCCCTTGCATCCATCTCTTTCGGCCCATCCATGGCCGCTTTCGCTGGCCGCCCCTTCTCGCAGAGTGTCGGCACGGCCTTCCAAGACCCTCGCGTCTTCATCGTGCGCCCTCATGATCCAGGTTGACTGTACCGCTCCTTGCTGCAGCAGCTTCACTGTACTGTCGGAGGCTTGTGTTCAGCATGGGGGATACGGGTCCCGAGGGAAACGGGCCCTGGACCCTGGGACCTTCCCCCAGGGCCAGTTCCTCCTCCTGAGCCGTTCTCTGACGGCCCCGGGGCCCGCGGAGGGCCCCGAGAGCCCAAGAGCGGCGGGAAACATCAGGACCCGTCTCCCCGACGGCGATGCGTGCCCCCCTCCCCTCAAGGGGGGAAGAGCCACCCGGACCGGACAACTGGCGTTTACTAGCCGGCCCTGGGCGTTTATTAAGCAGCCCTGCCCTGTTGGATTCCTTCTTCGGGTGCGTTTACTACGTTGAACGGCTCCGCGTGTTGGGGCGGTTACTATCGGGGTGAATTTTCTGCCCTCTACAGTCAACCATGATAGTAAGGATGGGGCAACTTTCCAAGGCTACCCTTGCATCCTTATTCGGCATCCTTCGGCATTCTGCTGCGTTCCGCACGGAAAACGTCAACATGGCGGTCCAAGGCTCTTGCATCCTCCCCGCGCATTCTTACTATCCTGGTCGAGTGCACCTCCGCCCCAGGAGTGGTGCCTCGTCTGCACCGGCGCGGCGCGGGACCCCGCCCGGCCCGCGCCCGCAGTGGCGCTGCCGGTGCGGCCCCCGAGCGGCGGGGGCTCGGCGGGGGTGCTGCGCGTCGGCCTGTCACTCCAGGAGCCGTCCAAGCGATACGACGACGACGACGACGACGACGACGACGACGTTCTCCTCCTCCTCCTCCTCCTCCTCCTCCTCCTCCTCCTCCTCCTCCTCCTCCGCACGTTTCCTTTGCTCTTCCTCTGCTTCCCTCCCCAGGCATGCGAGGTTCGAACTATGGCGGTTCGAACTCCGAGGATCGAGGCTCGAGGCTCGAATTTCGAGCATCGAGGCTGTTCGAGGGCTCCTCGCATCCGCGGCGGGTTCCGCCTCGAGGATCTGGCCAGAACGCACCCCAGGAGAGGTCTGGGGGGCGACTTTTGACCCCTGGGCCCATACGAACCAGACCTCAGACACGCGCAGAAGGGGGTGGGGCAAGCTAGGTGCGCTCGCGTCACATCTGATGTCCGACGTAGGAGTCCTACCCCTCCCTCCCATCCCTTACCATGGCGTAGACCTCTCTATTCGCACAGTCGGATGTCGTGGCATGGCATAGCATTACGTGGCATAGCACGGCGTTGAATATCAACGCTCAGCATGACATGGCATGGCGTGGCGCCGCCCCAGAGTGGGGGGGGGGCTTCTGCGGCCCAAACAATAAACGAATCCACACCGAATTTGTAATTCCCCAATCAGTGCTTGCACTTAAGGGGTCCTCGCGGATGTTGAAAGATTTGGCGAAAGTGCCCCACCGATTTTGGTTGCACGCTGGGTTCCCGGGATCCCTGTTCCGGGTTCCTGGGTTCCTGGTCATTGGTTCCGGGCCGATGGTTATTGGTTCCGGGCCGATTTGAGTGGGTTCCGGCCGAACTTATTATCAATCTGATTACCGATCTCCATTATCGGTCTCACAATCGATCCCATGATCGATCTCGCGATCGAATTTACTCTCGATATCACTACTCATCTTATTGCCGATTTCATTACGGATCTCACTCAATCGACCTACGTATCGGTCTCCTTATCGATCGCAATCGTCCCCGTTATCGATCTCACAATCGATTCTCAATCGTACCCACGATCGATCTCCCAATCGACCCCACGACCTAAGTATCGGTCTGACTATCGATCTCAACATCGAGAGATGATCCACACTATCGATCTCACAGTCGATCCCATGATCGATCTCGCGATTGAACTTGCTATCGATCTCACTAGCGATCTCACTGCCGATTTCATTACGGATCTCACTCAATCGACCCAAGTAGCAGTCTCACTATCGATCTCAGTCTCCACAGATCGTCCCCACTATCGATCTCACATTCGATCCCACGATCGATATTGCGATCGAACTTACTATCGATCTCAATATCGATCTCAAGATTCCTCTCACTATGGTCTCACAATCGATCTCATGATCGATCTCGCGATCGAACTTACTATCGATATCACTACCGATCTCACTCGCGATGTCATAACGGATCTCACTCAATCGACCCAAGGATCGATCTCATTATCGATCTCGATCGTCCCAACTATCGATATCACAATCGACCCCACGACCTAAGTATCGGTCTGATTGTCGATCTCAGCACCGAGAGATGATCCACACGATCGATCTCACAATCGATCCCATGATCGATCTCGCGATTGAACTTACTATCGATCTCACTACGGATCTCACTGTCGATTTCATCACGGATCTCATTCAATCGACCCAAGTACCAGTCTCATTATCGATCTCAGTCTCTACAGATCGTCCCCATTATCGATCTCACATGCGATCCCACGATCGATATTGCAATCGAATTTACTATCGATCTCACTACCGATCTCACTTTCGATCTCACGATTCTTCTCGCTATGGTCTCACAATCGATCCCATGATCGACCTCGCGATCGAACTTGCTATCGATCTCACTGCCGATCTCACTGTCGATTTCATTACGGATCTCACTCAATCGTCCCTTTTATCGATCTCACAGTCGATTCTCAATCGTGCCCACGATCGGTCTCACAATCGTCCCCACAATCGATCTCACAATCGATCCCATGATCGATCTCGCGATTGAACTTTCTATCGATCTCACTACCGATCTCACTGTCGATTGCATTACGGATCTCATTCAATCGATCAATGTTCTGGTCTCACTATCGATCTCAATATCCACAGATCGTCTCCACGATCGATCTCACAATCGATCCCACGATCGATTTCGCGATCGAATTTACTATCGATCTCACTACCGATCTCACTGTCGATCTCACGATTCCTCTCACTATCGATTTCATTAGTTCACCACAATCCCACAATTCACTATCGATCTCATGACCGATCTCACTATGCATCTCACTCAATCGATCTCACCATGGATCTTATTCCCCAATCAGTGCTTGCACTGGGTCCTCGCGGATGTGGAAAGATTTGGCGAAAGTGTCCCGCCGATTTGGGTCGCACGCTGGGTTGCCGGGTTCCCGGTTCCGGGTTCCCGGGTTCCCGGTTCTGGGTTCCGGGCCGATTTCGGAGGGCGGCGAGGTTCCCAGGTTCTTGGGTTTCTGGTCGATCTTCTTATCGATCAGTCTCACCATCGATCGCATTACCTATTTCTTTATCGATCTCATGATCGATCTCACAAGCGATCTCACTAGAGATCGCATGAGCGATCTCGCGATCGATCTCACTATCGATTTCATTGAATCGACTTCCTTCTCGGTCTCACGATCGACCTTACAATCGTCCTCACTATCGATTCCACTGTCGATCTCATTATCGATCGCACAATGGATCTCAAGATCCATAGTATTAATGTCAGAATCATCAACTGATTGGGGTTCTCTCAGGTGTAATTTTCATAGAAAACCAGCGAAAACTCAGTTCCCGGGAATCCTGTGTGTACAACAATACAGTATGCGGATGGGGGGCCGGATATCTTCCGGACGTCATCAGCGGAGAGAGGAGAGTAGTATTTTTATTGTGTAATTGTGGAGGGGGAAGGCTCCTTAGAAACACCCCTGCTTCTTAGAAGGCGCGGGCATTGTCTACAGATGTAAGGACCGCGCCTTCTAAAAAGCAGCCTCTTTGTAAGAAGCCTTTCCCCCCTCACCCTACCTGATTGTGCGCGCCGCCAACACTGGGCCATTTCGAACCAGACCACCGCACGAAGCCCGAGAGCAGACTCGGAAAAACGCACGGTGATACAATTTGATCGTCATGTCGGCCACCGGAGTCCCGGACCCCATCTTTCTGCGTCATGCTTCGAGCCAGATCAATATGTGCGGGTCCCTGGGCCCGCAATTGGGCGAAACGCCCTTTGTGAAAAAAATGCATCGCCTGGAACTCAGGGCGAGAAGGTCGACCGGAGTTAGGACGTGAATATATCCGTTCCAGAGCGTCCCAGAGCGCTCCGAGAAGGTCGCGGCGACTGAGACATATTCCAGTGCCGCGGGATCTCAGAGATTCCCGATTGATCCTCGCCCGATGTTGTCCTCGCCTTGTTCGTCTTACCGCCAGGATCTCAGGTGCGGGGAAGGGGTGCCTCTAGGCCTCATGGATGGGGTCCGCGCAGATGGAGTCGGAGGATCGCGCCGCATCGCCGATGCGGCTCGACGTGGAGCCCGATTCTCTCCGCTCAGGCGTCGCCGATGCACCCCCGACGTCGCCCATGCATCGCCGGTGCATCGCCGATGCCGTCGCCGATACATCAGCGATGCGGCGCGATCCTCCGACCCCACCGGCTCGGACCCCACCTAGGAGGCCTAGGGGTACCTCGTCCCCGCCCCTGAGATCTTGGCGGTAAGACGAAGCCAGGACGAGGACACCATCGGGCGAGGAGCAGTCGAGAAGCTCTGAGATCCCGCGGCCCTGGAGGATGTCTCGCTCACCGCGACCTTCTCGGAGCGCTCCGTGCCGCTAGAATGAAGTCGTGCCTGTCCCTCTACAGGAGGAGTAGTCAAAGATAGCTTGTTTCACAGACCAAAAAAAGTCTGGGGACGATCAGGTGTCCTTTTTTGAATATGTTTAGGGTATTTGGGGGGACCTCGTCACTTTTCCTCCAAAGTCCGCCTGCAAGGGGGCAGGCCCGACTTGAGCCTGGGGGGCCCTCGCCGCCACGGCTCGGATGGGCGCCAGCTGTGCACCCGCACCGCTCCGGGGCAGGCCGATCCCCGGCCGCCCTTCGGCTCGGCGCACGCTCGGGGCTCCATGGACGGTTGTCACTGCAATCGGGTCGGGCGAAAGGGGGGGATTGGGAAAGGGGGGGTACGAAATTTGCTGCATGCAGCTGGTTTCCGCCCCACCGAGGGGCCCATTCCTAGATACATAGCCGCCTCCGGCGCCGGGAGGCGCCGGGAAAATCAGCTACGTGAGCTGATTTTCAACCCCCCCTTTGCTATCCCCCCCTTTCGCCCGACCCGATGCAAGCGGGGCTCAGCCAGGGCGCGCCGTGGAAAACAAAAACAAAAAAGAGGCGGAACGCGCTGTGGAAGCAAAGCCACGGCGGGAGGTCTTGGGCCATGTTCGGACTCCGGGGGCCCTCGCGGGCCTTCGGACCGCCGAAAAAAGGCGCAGGATGAAAAGCCGGTCTCGGGGAAAGGGTCGGGGCTTCCGGGGACCGCATATTGGAAAAATCAGGACGTCGCACGTTTGTGGACGGGGGTCAGTGCCAACGGGGGTCAGCCAGGGCGCTTACAGGATCCTGCAGAGCCAGGGATGCACTGACCCGGGCTTGCGCGCAGGATCCTGCAGGATCGTTCACGGCCCGATTGGCCCGGGTTTGCATTGACCCGGGTCAGTCCGCGTCGCTCTTCGGCGGTCCCGACGCCGGGCGGGGGCCCCCAGGGCCGAAACTTGGGAAAAGCCTCCGCCGTGGTTTTTGCCAAGACTCACGAGGGGAAAAAACACACAGACACAATGAATCGTCGATCCCCCAGAAAATATGGAAAAATATGGGAATTGGGCTGGAAGGCAAAAACCCAGAAAATATACGAAAATATAGGACATCCTTCTATTTGTGTGTATTTATTCTCTTGCACAGCTGTGCTCTAGAGCTCGGACATCTTTATTTTCGTGTCGTTCGTCGTTCGTGTCGTTCGTCCCCCTGGCCCTGGTCGTCCCCCTGGCCCTGGCCCTCACCCCCCCCTGCCCGCCGTCCAGGCATCCCAGGGCAGCCCGTCCAGGCTTCCCAGAGCAGCCCCCCTGGGCCACGGAACCCTTTATTTTCGTGTCGTTCGTCGTTCGTGTCGTTCGTCCCCCAGGGCAGCCCGTCCCCCCCTGCCCGCCGTCCAGGCATCCCAGGGCAGCCCGTCCAGGCTTCCCAGAGCAGCCCCCCTGGGCCACGGAACCCTTTATTTTCGTGTCGTGCGTCGTTCGTGTCGTTCGTCCCCCAGGGCAGCCCGTCCAGGCTTCCCAGGGCAGCCCCCCTGGGCCACGGAACCCTTTATTTTCGTGTCGTCGTCGTCGTCCTCCTCCTCCTCCGCTTTCTTCCTGGCTCCTCGTAAACCCCTCCAGGAAGAAGGAGGCGGGGGCCTCCTGTCCTTCGCAACTCCTTTGTGCAAGAGCCAGGGCACGCGTGCCACTTGTTTGTGTGTCATTGGGCCCCTTGACAGACGTTGGATCTCTGGGGAGCCAGCCCTCCTTCTTCAAGACGCTGGACCCCTGGCCCTGGACGCCCCCCAGGAGCCCGGCTTCTGGGAGGCGCTGGTGCCCGACCCGGGGGCGCTGGACGGCGTCTCGCCCGAGCACTTCGAGCTCTTCACAGGCCGGGGCCGCGGAGACAGCAGCGTCGGGGGCGGCACGGGGGGGGGTTGTGAGGACCGGGCGGGGGGGGGGCGATATCATGGCGTGGGCCATGAGATCTCCCCAGATTTCACGGCGACTCCTCTCACCTCAAAACGTCCCCGGCCCCCCCTTGGGCCGCGCACGTGCCGCCGGCCACGATTTGCGCCCCCTCCTCTTGGACACCCCTCTCTCGGCCGCCCCCAGCAGTGGAGCCCCATGCCAAGAAACACCTTGCTTGCTTCCAGGGTGCCCTGGGTTTCTTGGGGTTCGCTGGCTTTGCTGTGGGCAGCGCGACGCTCCCACACCAACAACGACAGTGGAGGTCTTGGGCTCTCAGGGTTGGGTTTCTCGTGGGCTGGCCTCCACCGTGTACACGTCCACTGCCCCAGGCCGGGCCCGTCCCGGGCCCACGAGCAGTCAGTGTGCCTCGAGGGCCGAGGGCGTGTGCACCGCTCTCGGGGCCCAGGATGGGCCAGGCCCGGGGCAGTGGACGTGTGCAGCTCTCGCCGCCTTGGCAGGCGCCGCGCCCTCTGGCGGCATCCTGATCAACCTCAGCGAGCACGGCACGCTGGTGAACGGCGAGCTGGTGCACGAGAGCCACCGCCTGGCGCAGGGCGACGTCGTCGGGCTGCCGAGGCTCGGGGTCGGCGGTAGTCTAGATACCCGCGCGCCGACGCGAAGGGGGCGGGCGCGCACCACGGCTTTCAGCAGCGCTGCCGAGCAGGACAGCTCCATGCGTCGCCTTGCACGGCCGCGCCGCTGACACAAGCCCAAGGCCTACCATCGCACACACCACGCGCAATGCCAGGTCTCCAACACCATACTCAGGAGGGAAAAAAGCACACAGACACAATTAATCGTCGATGCTGGGAAGTGGGGGGGAAGACAAAAACCTAGAACATATGGTAAAAAATATTGGGAATCTGTTTATTTGTGTGTATTTATTTGTGTGTTCTGAGGCCCCTTTACCAACGTCCAGAGGTCTGTACCGGGAGATGCACAGGGGCGCATTGAAAAGTTCAACGCGGAGGCATTTCGTCGTTCGCGGCCTCTGGGGGCTCGGGGGCCCCTTGACTGTCAAGAGCGACTCTGGACCAGAGGGCGGCTGGGGGGGGGGGGGGGGTTTGGGGGGGGGGGGGGGGGGGGGGGGGGCCGTGCTGCAAGAAACAAATTGCTGGACGTATAGGTAAGTCGGGCATGTTCCTCTACAGGGGGAATGTTCAAAAAATAGTCAACGAAATCGTCTGGGGACGATGTCTTGACAATGTTTCTATTTTCCGCCCACAATCCGCCTGTAGGAGGACGTGCCCGACCTCAACGTGTGGGTGCAGATCCACTGCCCTTGGCCAGGCTCATCCTGGCCCCGGGTTGGTGTGGGTTACCTCCCTGGCCAGGCCGGGGGGCGCACATTCACCGTTCACGCAGGCCCAGGATGTAAGGCCTGGCCGGGGGCAGGGGACTCGTAAAGACCTCGCCGCCCTACAGCTATTCGATGCTCCTTCGTTCGGGTATAGCCAGGACCCCGGGTAAGGGGACCTGGTTAGTGGTAGGGCCTTGGGGCCCCTCAGTTGGCCAGATTCACTAAACCAGGTTTGCCGTAACTGGTGTTTTTCGGGTGACGGCAGTTCCGGTTAGTAAAAATGGGACGGGGGGGCGCCCCCGGTCTTTAAACCAGGTTCCATTCCACTCAACCCAGTTCTGCCAACGCCCGATTCGTACCCGCGGATTGGCCCCATGTGTGTATGTGTTTACCCAGTTCTGCTCCGCCGATCTCACGCGGCCAGCATCGGCCTTCCGTGCACTGCCTGGGTCGCATCGACGGTCTTCGGTAGGCCAGCACACGTTGGCGATACGGTCGGACCGAAGGATAAGATCGAGGCCGGTTCGGGGAGGGTACCCCAATGCTCTTCGTGCTTGTTGGATGTTCTGGTACATCTTGGGGAAGGGTACCCTGAAGGATAGTTCTGTCCTGGCGGAAGGTCTCATGTTCTTGAAGGATGCTCTTCCGTCCTATGTCCGGCCGTAACACTCGTTCCCAGAGATCCAATGCCTTGACTCGTTCCATGCGGGGCCCCCGCCCGGAAGTCTCGCCCCGTTCCCCAGGACCGGCCCTGCATCCCGAGTCGTTCCCTGACGGCCCTGGGGCCCGGCGAGGGCCCCCGGAGGCCGAAAACGGCGAAGCACACCTCCGCATCGGATTCTTCAGTGCGTCGGCTCCCTGGGCTCTGCGGATCCCCGATCTGCGAGGCTCGGCCGCGCGGAGGGCGAGGCTCCCGTCGTGGAGTTCCGCCTCCTCCGCGGCGCCGCGGGGCGGCCGCAGGCGGCGCTCGCTGCGCCCCCGGGCTCGCCGCGCGCCTCCTGGGGCGCCTCGGGCGCCCTCGACTCCGGCGCGTCGGGCGCGTGCGGCCCGACGGGCTCCGCGGCGGGCTCCAGCGAGTGCGCCGAGGCTCGCCACGAAGCGGCGGCGAGCGAGGCGAGGTTCTCGCAGTTTTCGGCATCGGGGGGGCCCTCCTCGGGCCTCGGGACCTTCAGAAAACGACTCAGGAGGAGAAGCCGGTCCCGGGAGAGTGGTCCAGACCTCTGGGGGTCGACGCTGCGGAAAAGTCAAGACGTCGGGGGTCTGGGTTCGGCGGCGAGCGAGGGGGGGAAGTGAGAAGGAGGAGGCCTTCTCAGAAGGGGGCGGGGCTTCTCAGAAGGCCCGCCGGCCTTCTGAGAGGTTTTTCTGTGTCTTCAGAAGGCAGGGGGACTTCCGAGCCTTCTGAGAAGGCCCGCCCCTTCTCGCTTCCCCCCTTGCTCGCCGCCGAACGAGGCTTCACCAGGTCCTCGTGGCGACGAGCCCTCAGGTCCTGGCGTCTCGCTTTGTTCGCCACGGACGAGGTTGCCTCGTTTCGGGTCCGGGGGCCCTCACGGGTGGATCGGGCCAGAGAAACGGTGCAGAAAGATCGGGCCGGGGGCTCCGGCGAAGTGTCCACCATGCGAGCGGCGACAGGAAACGGGTTCGTCTTCACCGACGTTGGCGCGCAAGCTGCCCGCGTCAGGTCTCGCGTAAGCGGCCTCATTTCCGATGTGGCGTGCCGCGCTGGCGGCACGCGCAAGCCGTGGCGTGGGGTCGCTACGGCATCTCGCGTGAGCCTTTCGTCGCCCACCTTGCAGCTGTTCTTGACGTCGGATCTCAGGAAGTCCTGTAGTTTACGGCCCCAGGGCCCGATGGGAACCCCCAGAGGCCGAAAATGGCCCAAGACTTCCCGTCCTGATCGTTTGCTCGCGGCGCGAGGAGCTCTGGGCCCGTCTTCAAGGAAGGAAAACACACCCAGACTTCAACACTTGGCGTTTGCTAGACGGCCCTGGGCGTTTACGAAACAGCCCTGGCTTGTTCGATTCCTTTCTGGGGTACGTTTTTCCTGCACGGTTTCGCCTATCGGGCTTTTCGTGAGGGTGGATACAGTCGACCGGTACAGTAAGGACGGGCAACTTTCCCAAGGGTATCCTTGCCTCCTTGCCTCCTCGGTCCATCCTCGGCCACTTCCGCTGGCCGCGCCCCGCTCGAAAGACTTCGAAACGGCCCTCCGAGGCCCTTGCGTCCTCGTCGCGCATCCTCGCGATGCGGGCCGACCGCATTCTGCTCCCCTGCGCCTCGCGCCAGGCGGCGCTGCCTGCGGCGTCGGCCCTGCTGGGCTTCGGCTCGGCGGGGCCGCTCGGCTCCGCGGCGGAGCCGCGGCGCGGTGCCGGGCGGGCGGCCGCGTGGCAGGCGGGGGCGGCGGCGGCGGACTCGCTCGACCTCGCCCGCGCCGCGGCGCGGCGCCCCGAGGCCCCGGGGGGCGGCGGTCGGGGGCATTGACGGAGGGGCCTCGGGGGAGGGAGGGGGAGGGAGGAGGGAGGAGGGAGGAGGGAGGAGGGAGGGGGAGGAGGGAGGAGGGAGGAGGGAGGAGGAGGAGGAGAGGAGGAGGAGGAGGAGGAGGAGGAGGAGGAGGAGGAGGGAGGGGGGGGGGGAGGAAGGGAGGAGGAGGGGAGGAGGAAAGAGGAGGGGGAGGAGGAGGGGGAGGATTGAGGGAGGAGGGTGAAAGAGGGAGGAGAGGAGGAGCGAGGAAGAGCGAGGACGAGGAGGAGGAGGAGGAGGAAGAGGGGACGAGGAGGAGGAAGAGCGAGGAGGAGGAGGAGGAGGAGGAGGAGGAGGAAGAGGACCAGAGCAAGCCCAAGATGCATCAGCGATGCCGTCGCCCGCGCCTCGCCGCGCGGCCCCGGACCCTCGGGGGCGGGGATCGGGGGCAGCGATGAGGGCTTGGCATCGCTCGGACGTGTTTTTGTTGGTTCGGCGAGGGCCATCGAGAAGCATAGTGGATCACCTTGCGAGAACGCACGAGACCGAAAGACGCACTAGAGTGGACGTTCGAGCGATGGCAAGAGGGGGGGTGGCCCGAGATCCCGGCGTCCCAGACACGATCGCGTCGTAAAAGATCACGACGGGAGGTGTTTGGCCACTTTCGGCCTCCGAGAGGCATAAAAAGAGATGTAGGGGAATCCTGGGATGTGTGTCCATTGATTTGCGTGTCCCTGGGTCCCTTCAACCTGGATGGGCTGTGGCCCTTCGGCCCGGCCCGGGCGCGGCGCGGCAGAGCCGCGCGCGGCGCGCGGCGGCTCGGCAGCTCCCGGGCTGCCCAGGGAGGCGCCCTGGCGACCCAGGCATGAGCGCGTCGCACGCCGAGAGGGTTGTTGGCCAGTTTCGGCCTCCGGGGGCCTTCGCCGGGCCCCGGGGCCGTCAGAGAACGGGTCGGGATGAAGAACGGGTCCCGGGGATAGGGTCGGGGCTTCAGGACCGCGAATTGAAAAATTCAGGACGTCGCACGCCTGGGGTCGCGATTGCTGGGGTCGCGATTGTTTCTCAGCGGGCCCTGGGACCCTCACGGATGAATCCGGTTCGAAAAATACCGCCGAGAGATGGGGGCCAGGAGTCCGGCCAGGTGTTTCTTCATCTTTCTCGTGCCGTCCGATTTGGGGGGGGGGCTCGGGGGGGGACCCCAAGACAGCCAGCACGCCTCCAAGAGCCGCGAAGAAGCTTTCAGGAGACCCCAAAGACTCCCCAAGAAGGCCTCCAAGAGGCCCCCGCGAGGCCCCCTTCGGAGAGGGGGATGGAGGAAAAACCACCCCGACCCCAACAGCGTCTACTAAACAGTCTGGGGCGTTTACCGAACAGCCCTGCCTTGTTCAGTTCCTTCCTCGGGTGTTTCCTCGGGTGCGTTTGCGAAAAGGCTTTGCCGTCGGGATGCGCAGCACGAAGGTGAATATTCGACCCTCTACAGCGGGGACTGCGTCGACCCCCCATTCGTGCACTCCTCGCCGACAGGGGCCTGCTGGCCCACCATGGCCAGCCCCGTGCGGCTTCGCCTATCCGAGCGCCATGCTTCCCCCCCGGCTGCCGGCGTGGCAGCCGCCACTCCTCCTCCTCCTCCTCCTCCTCCTCCTCCTCCTCCCCCTCCCCCTCCTCCTCCTCCTCCTCCTCCTCCTCCTCCTCCTCCCCCTCCTCCTCCTCCTCCCCCTCCTCCTCCTCATCCTCCTCCTCCTCCTCCTCCGCACTTGGACATCCAGGCGGTGTATGACGAACCCTGGAAGACCCACTGCGGCATCCAGATCACGGTGGGCAACGCAGAGCCGTGGGCGTACAAAGCTATCAAGGTTCCCAAAGCCCTCCCCGCCCGAGCCAGACCCAAGGAGGTCGCGGACCCGGACAGTAAAAGGCCCAAGGCTCTGGCGCAGGCGCTGACGTTGAGAACCAGGAGGGAAGGGCTGCCAGGGCACCTGCGCGACGAGTTCGACGCCCTCCACAGCAACGGTGCGGACGCGTCCAAGGAAGACCCCACGCCGTTCATGATCCCAGAGGCCGACTGGGACAACGCCGCCGACGAGGTGCGGAACGACCCGAGGTTTGAGGGCAACCGCGTCGGCACAAGCAGAGTGTTGCAGCGCAGATCAACTCTTCGTACGCCCAGCGACTCGCAACCCAGGAGGTAGCCTTCCTGGGGACATACCACGTCCCCGCCGACGAGAGGACCAGCTACCAGGGCAGAGCCGAGGGCTACAAAACCACCAAGCGGATCATGAGGGCATCACCTGGGAGAGCGTACATGAAGGACCCTGAGGCTACATGGTGGCAGCACACCAGCACGCTCATCTTGAGGTACACAACGGTGGTCAAGAACGCGAAAGATCCGAAGGCACGCCAGCAGATCCACAGGACCATTCACAACAAGCTCGACGACCTGGACAACCCAGAGGCCCAGAAGAACCACTTCGGCAACAAGACGGATCCGAAGGAGATCGATGAGTGGAAGACCCAGATCTCCACTCGTCGCTGCGGCGAGGACGACCTCCACTACCTCTGCGCCACCACCACGACGTGGACGCACAAGGCCAAGAGCTAGGGCAGCGGGCAGAGTTCGGAAGAGATACCTCGACTGGGCGAAGCAAGCTTGGAAGGACTCTCCTGGTAAGCTCCATCGTACGCTCACGGACCCCAAGGCACAGCGCTTGGAGGACAAGATGGGCCACCACCGTCGGCGACCCATACCTGGCCATGAACACGGCTGTGGACACGCGGCGCGACATCTGGAAGTCCAATCGCTACAACGAGAAGCAGATCATCTACGCATACGAGAGGGTCACCCAGCTCGCGAAGGAGGACCACTTCCCGATCATCGAGCCGCAGCACATCCATTCCATCGCTGGCATTGCCAACCCCAACAAGCCGAAGGGGGGTCGTCAACATCGGATCGGCCCCATCGACATCCAGAGACTCCCTCATCAGGGCATCCAGGAGCTCGCCAACATCTACAACGCGGTGGAGCAGAGCGGCCTGCGGCCGCAGCAGCTATGCGCCACTGTCGGAGCGATGGCCCCCAAGCCCGCTGGCGGGGAAAGGATCTCGGGCGCGCCCCCCACGATCCCCAAGACATGGGCCAAGATACGGTCCACCATTACGGACGAGTGGCCCAAGGAGTTGGCGGAGTTCTGGGACACCGCCATCCAGGTCCCCAGCGCGCCCAGGGCCGCGCTGGCCAGGGCCCTCCTCGACGAGACGGCAGCGGCGTTCGGCGCGGCCTTCGCCGCGATCCCCATGGACGTCGAGAAGTTCTACGAGTCGGCATGTTACGCGCTCCTCTTCGACGCCGCCATCAGGGCGCCGATTGTCGCGGCGCTGGAGGTGCAGCCCCACCTGGCCCCCAGGCACTTGCGCGCGCACGGCTGGGCCAGCGCCCTCATCGGCCCGCAGCGGCCCATCGTCGCGGGCAGCTGCAACGGCGGCAAGCTGGCGAAGATCTCCCTCGGGCCGATCCTCCAGAGGGCCCACCACCACTAGACCTAAGGCGGGCTCGCGGGCCATCGTAGATGGCACGGCGGCCAGGACGGAGGGGCAGACGCAGCAAGTCATCGGCGACCTCATGGGCGCGGCGACAGGCCTCTACACTGGCATGACGGACGCGGGCCTCCGAGCGTCTTCCAAGACGACGGTCGCCGCTTCCAGTCAGACGATCGCCCTCGCGACCCACGTCGGCTTCACGGAGAAGGGTTACTCCATCAAAGTTGCCCACGCATCCGTCGATCTCGGCATCGACGTCGGCGGCGCCAAGAGGAGGGCCGCAGCCGAGGCCCCCACGCGGGCCTTGACGGCGAAGCGCCGCACCAACCGCATCACCACGAAGGTCAGATGGGCCTGTCCCCAGCGGTCATCCTCGAGCAGAGGCGCCAGGCTATTCAGGCTTCCGCTGGGAGAGCAGGACGTCGCCTCTCCACCGCGCTGGCCGCAGCCTTGGGGCAGAAGGGCCACGCCATCGAGCAGAGGCGCCAGTCGATCACGGAGTGGCTCCACTTCTGGTTCAACCACCCACCAGAACACAAATTGCGGGTCACGCAGGCGCGGAAGCTCCTCTACGACGACGATCAGCCGCGCCAACAAGAAGCGGGGGAAGGTGCTGGGGCCCATCTCCGCCGCACAGGCCATCCTCACAGACGCGGGGTGGATATGCCCTACGCCATGCGAATGGTCTCGCCCACCATGGGGAGGAGAGACCGAAGTACAAGAATGGCTCCTACCTCACAGCGGCCAACCAGACAGGGAGGACAAGAAGCACGACGCGGGCCCCGCGGAGTTCGTCCACGAGCCCCGCCTGTCCATCGAGAAGGGCCCGCGGAAGGACGCAGCCAAACATCCACGCGGAGGAGGACTGCAGCGCGGAGGCCAGACGCCCACATCATTACGCCCTCACCCCCTGCGCGGCCGCACGCAAGACGCGCCCGCGCCGCGCGGCCTCCGACGAGGCACGCATGCACGGGATCTGGCTGTGCCCGAGCAACCGCGACCACGAGGGCGACACCGATCATGACGCCCTCCTTCCGCAGCCCCTGCTGGGGCCGAGGCTTTTCCTGCCCGCCGGCTCCGCGGCCTGCCTGCGCGCGCAGACGCGCGCCCTGTCTTCTCTTTGTTGGAGGCGGGGTGGGGGGGTGGGCGGCGGGTGGAGCTGGGTCGGGCGGGGCTGGGAGGACTGCGCCAACGGCGATGGAACTGTCACTCTTTTCGGCGATGGGTCGGGCGGCGAGTTCAGTGACGACCCCCGTCGCCGAAGGGTGGGAGCCGCCTGCGCCGCTATGACGAGCTTCTTTGGGGAGTGGGCCCCCTGGGGAGGCACCCTCCCAGGCCTGGAGGGCCCCTTCCAGACGGTGCCCCGCGCCGAACTCTTGGCTTTTGCGCTCGCCCTCGAAAGCTGGCCTGGCGACCTCTGCTTCATTACTGACCTCATGCCGCTTATGACGGGTGGAGGACGAACCGACATTTGCGCCCCTTGCGAAGGCGCGAGCTTAGATTTGCGGGCACGCATTGCCAAGGCAACGCGCACTCGCGGCAGCGGCAAGCTAGAGGTGACCTGGGCGCCCTGACACAGCGAGGGAGCACCCGGCCTTGCTTCCGACCCTGTCCGCCACTTCCACGCGGCAGGCAATGCAGCAGCTGACACGCGAGCAGGCGTAGCCGAAGTCTCCTACGAGGCAGCCCTCGCGGGCCCGCCCCCCCCCCCCCCCACCCCACCCCCACCCCACCCCACACTGACCTGCACGACGCCCAGCGCGCCCTCATCCGCACGAGGGCGCGCAGAACGCACGCGGACACGCTTGCAGTTGACCCCTGGGTCGCGGGGCGACCCTCGCAGGCCAGAGGCCCACGTCTCACCAAGCTGCAGCTAGCCACGCAGTCAGGCCAGCACTCTTTCGAGCTCCGCGCAGGCAAGTACTTGTGCACGCGCTGCGGGCTCACTACCGACCTGTGCAAGGCGCGGCATGCGCGTGCGACGCCTTGCCACCACGAGCCGCCGCTGCCAACGGCCAGCGATCAAGTGGTGCCAGCGCAGGGCGCCGCTACCACTTGCGGGCGCGAGCTGCACGCCTCTCACAAGCTGCACTATATACAGAAGTACTGGTTGTATTGTTGCCGCGAATGCGACAAGGTGGCTAAGCAGGACCCACGCCATCTTGCCGCGCCCTGCATGGGAATCACGAGGAAGCGGCGAGAGAACCGCGTCAAGATAGACAGTGGACTTTTCACCCGCGCCCACGCTGGGCGCGACGGACTGACCAATTTCGTGCGGCGGCTATCCACGGCATGGCCGTGGAGGAGTGCATTGCCGACGCCGCGCTTGCCGCTGTGCCCGCACGCGCCACACAGCAGGAGAGTTAGAAGGCACTTGGCCTCGCTCACAAAACGCACCCTGGTGCGCTCGGACGTATCCTCATATATATCTCCTCCTTCGCCTCCTCCTCCTCCTCCTCCTCGTGGTCCTCCTCCTCCTCCTCCTCCTCCTCCTCCTCCTCCTCCTCCTCCTCCTCCTCCTCCTCCTCCTCATCCTCATCTCATCCTCATCCTCATCCTCTCCTCCTCCATTTCCTCCTCCTCTTCCTCCTCTCCTCCTTCCTCCTCCCTCCTCCTCATTCCTCCTCCCTCTCCTCCCTCCTCCTCCTCCTCTCCTCTCCTCCTCCTCCTCCCCTCCTCTTCCTCCTCCTCCTCCTCCTCCTCCTCCTCCTCCTCCTCCTCCTCCTCCTCCTCCTCCTCCTCCTCCTCCTCCTCCTCGGGTCGCCTACGGCCTTGGGGGGAGCCGTGCACCCAGGAAACCTGAGCGTCGCTTGGAGCCGAAGCGGAGAAAACGCCATAGACAGAAACGACTGGCGTTCCGCGCGGATTTCTCAGATCCGGCGCCTGCGGCGCCGCCACTGGCGCGTTCCGCGCGCCAGGGAGGGGTGTCCACCGCAGATCCAAGGAATCCGCGCGTAGCGCCAAAATAATATGTTTATGTTGTTTCTTCTTCGCATTATTAGTTTGGTATGATTCGCAGTATTCGTATTATCTTTATAATTAGTAGTATTATTAGTAGTAGTAGTCGTATTATTATTAGTAGTAGCAGCAGTAGTAGTAGCAGCAGTAGTAGTAGTAGTAGTAGTAGTAGTAGTATGATTAGTATCAGTATTAGTATGAGTAGTAGTAGTAGTAGTAGTAGTAGTAGTAGTAGTAGTAGTAGTAGTAGTAGTAGTAGTAGTAGTAGTAGTAGTAGTAGTAGTAGTAATAGTAGTAGTAGTAGTAGTAATAGTATTAATAGTATTAATAGTAGTAGTACTAATAATAGTATTACTATTATTAATATTAGTATTAGCATTATTAGTATTAGTATTCGTCTGTGTGTGCTTCTTATGTTTATTATTAATATTCGTATTAGTGGTTTCGTATTAGTGTTCTTCTCATTCATATTATTAGTGTTAGTATTATTATTATTAGTAGTATTCTTCTTTCTCTAGTTTTAGTAGTATTACTATGCGCATTCTTCTTATTATTATGAGTAGTATTATGAGTACTAGTGGTATTAGTAGTATTACGTCGTACCATTAGCATTATTAGTATTATTAGTATTATTATTATTCTGTTGAGTATGCTGGGGAGGCGTGGCACTCTCTCTTTCCATCCGCCATGCCTGTTTGGGACCAACGAGGCCCCCATGGGCGACGCGCCCACACCTCCAAAGTTGCACCGACGACCAGAATATGAGGCTGACAGTTTCCTGCGCGCAGCTCTATAGAGAGGCAGAGGGACCTAGCCCAGGAACATACTGAAGCCTCGCCCCAGGAGACGGGCTCGCCCCTTGGCCGCGCGGCTCCAGAGCGCCCCTTCGCACTGGAGTGCACCCAGTCGCGGGGGCTGCTCGGGCGGGAGCTGGAGCGGCTGCCCGCGAGGCTGCGGGTGCTGGAGGCGAGCGGGTGCCCGCCGGGGCTGCGGCTGGGGCGCGCGGTGCTGGGGGGGGGGGAGAAGTTCTGGGCCTGGGACGCAGTCGCCCGCCTTACCATAAGCTATAGTTTACGTTGAGGTCTCTCTCGATGCAGGCCTTACTGTTTCCATCGATGGATGTTGTCCCGAGGTTAAAAGCACCTCGATGCTTTTCATGTGCGCCACAAGAAAGGCCTCGATGGTTTTCGCGTGCGTCACGAAGTACCTCGATGGTTCTTAAACGCGCCATGAAGCACCTTGATGTTTGGGCATGTGCGCCACGAAAGACCTCCCTGAGTGGGGTCAGAGTAGAGTCAAGGCGCATAGCAACGATGCGCGGTCAGGATGCAAGCCTCTGAGGGCCATGTTGCGGTTTTCCGAACGGGGCTGGCCAGCGAAAGTCGCCAAGGATGGGCCGAAGGGGCCAAGGATGCAAGCGTGGCCTTGGAAAATTACTCATCCTTGCTATGCGACTTGACTGTAGACGGGGTCGGAGGATTGCGCCGCATCGCCGATGAATCGGCGATGCGGCTCGATTTGGAGCCCGATGGTATCAAAGCTGGCGTCGACGATTTACCGCTGGCGTCGCCGATCGTCGGCAATGCGTCGGCGATGGCCGATGCGGCGCGATCCTGCGGCTAGGGCGCGCGGTGTGGGAGGGGAGAGAGAAACGCACAAGCACGAGCACGTCCGGAGGTATGAGGTTGGAGGCACGGTCGACACGCCGGCACGACCTTGAGGCTCGAGGTTTTCGGGCGTGTTCGTTGGGCCTCGCTGGTCCTCGAGCCTCGGAGTGCTCCCCAGCAGCTGCGCCTCGCCGAGGACGTGCTGAGCTGCCCGGCTCGCCCCCATCGGCCGGCCCCAGGCCCGAGCTGCGGCCCCGACCACCTAGAGATCCAACGCACCCCCCTGGGATCCCGGCGTCGAGGTGTTCGCCAAGGCCGACCTCTCGCCTCGCGTCGGGCCCCTGGGCCCTCGCGGATCGGTCTGGCTCGAGAAGCGTCGGAGGTTGATAGACCTCCTGCCCTGCCACGTCGATTGGCGAATTGGCCGTGTGCGGTTCGCGAAAGGGCGTCGCGGCCGTCATTTTCGCACGTCCAGGTCCGTCGGGTTCGGGCCTAGGCCGTTCTCATTAAAGGGTGGTTTACTAATTCCCTACCTAGGTTCTGCCTAGAAGGGTTCTTACTTTCTTTGCTTAAAGGGGCCGGGCAGTGGAACCCGCCCCGGGCGGTTCCCCCGGTCCCCTGGGATCCAAGCAAAAGCAACATCGAAGGTAAAAGCAAACGCGCGGTACCCCCAGTTGCGCTCCTTGGGTGCCAAGCAAAAGCAAAAGCAAAAGCAAAAGTGAAGGCAAAAGCGAAGGCAAAGCAATAGCATAGCATAGCATAGCATAGCGCAGCATAGCATGGCGCAGCATAGTAATCTAGCCTAGCCTAGCCTAGCCCAGCCCAGCATAGCATTGCCCAGCATAGCATAGCATAGCATAGCATAGCGCAGCACAGCATCCACTATTGCTGCTGCTACACATATATATATATACACACACATGAGGAGAAGGAGGAGGACGGCGTTTACCGCTCCTACTAATGTTGCTTTCTTAGAGGCTCCAACTCCTAGGTAGGGTCGCACTGGGATAATGGAAGGTTTGTCCACCTCCGAAAGCGGCGCAGAAGGATGGGGCCCCAGGGCTCCGGGCGAGTTCTGCTACGACGTCTGCGTGTTCGTCGCGACGTCGCGTCTCGGAGGGAGCGCGTCGGCGCCCGATCGCCCAAGGCAGCGCCGAGGTGGGCCCCCGAGCCGACCCCGCCGGGGAGCGCGCGGCGTCGCCGCCCGGGCACGTGCGGTTGCCCAGTCCAGCCTCCGACGCTTCCGAGGTGCCCAGGGTGCCCTCCAGGGCGGCTCAAGGCCCCCGCGCGCACGCCGACGAGGCCTCAGCCACAGTCCAAGAGGCCCCGAAATTGCCCAAGGCTATTCCAGAGAGGTCCCAAAAGGGAGCTGAAGCGCTCAAGGCAACAAGGCGTTCCCAGGACCCCCCGCGCGCTATCGGGGGCCTATCCATAGCCGGCCCATCGAAGATAAATCGCCGAGAAGGGGCTGGTTCCCCGGCAGCTGCGTGCTCTGCAACGCTGCGGCGCTAGTCGGTGGGGAAGCGAACGAGAGATTCCAAATTCGGGGTGCACGCCAGGCGGGGCGGAGGCGGAGCGGAAAGAGGGACCGAGAAAGCTCGGCCTCGTTCGGACGTGTGCATGTTTCTCGGTGGGCCAGCGCCAGAACATCTGGACCACCTTGGAGCATATTGGATCACCCTGAAGAACAAGACCACGCGCGAAACGAAACAACGCACAGAGAATGGACGTCCGAGCGACGGCAAGAGGTGAGGCCAAGGCGAGACGGGGAGAGAGCGGCGGCTCGCGCAGACACGGACACACAGGTCAGGTCAGGTCAAGCCGTAGGTTGGGGCAGCCCATGGGCACGTGCACGGGGCATGAGCCGGGACCCCGTCTTTGACGGCGTCCGCCCTGCAAGCTGCGGAACGAGGCTGTGGATGCGCATGCATAATTCTGCTGTGCTTCAAAGGAGGGAGAAGGACGCACGGGGGGAAGGAGGGGACACGGACACGCAGAGCGACTCCAGGTCTCCGACGGCGCACTGCCGCTCCTGACCAGGCTGCCCCGCTTCGGCGTGCTGTCCAGCAGCTGCGCCTCGCCCGGGGCGCTCCCGGGGGTGCAGGGCATCGTCCCGAGCGGCAGCGGGAGGCCCGAGCCACGTGGCCCGAGGGCCAGAGATCCGGCGGCTCCTGCTCCTCCTCCTCCTCCTCCTCCCTCCTCCCTCCTCCTGCTCCTCCTCCTCCTCCCTCCTCCTCCTGCTCCTCCTCCTCCTCCTCCCTCCTCCTCCTCCTCCTCCTCCTCCTCCTCTCCTCCTCCTCCTCCTCCTCCTCCCTCCTCCTCCTCCTCCTCCTCCCTCCTCCCTCCTCCCTCCTCCCTCCTCCTCCTCCTCCTCCCTCCTCCTCCTCCTCCTCCTCCTCCTCCTCCTCCTCCTCCTCCTCCTCCTCCTCCTCCTCCTCCTCCTCCTCCTCCTCCTCCTCCTCCTCCTCCTCCTCCTCCTCCTCCTCCTCCTCCTCCTCCTCCTCCCTGCGCTTCTCGTCTCGGTTCGCGGGCTCGCGGGGGCCCGCTGCAGGGCCCCGGGAGGCGATCGAGAGCGGGCTCGGGGCAAGAGGTTGCCCCCGGGGGAGCCGTCGGGGCCTCCTGGGGCCGCGCGCTGGACAGATCTCTTCGTCGGAGGTTTGCCTTTCGGTCGGGCGTGTCCCTCCACAGGAGGAGTGTTCAAGGATAGTCAACAAAAATAGGCTGGGCACGCTTTTTGGACGACTCTTGGCTATTTTCGAGCCTTGTTCGACTATCTGTTATTCGTCGTCCCATATCCGCCCGTAGGAGGACATGCCCGACCGAAGTTTACCTTGCCCTCGTCTTCGCCTGCTGGGGCCTCCTAGCAGGCCCTCGTCGCCAGGCAGACCCGCCGCGGAGCCCTGGTCAGGGCGCGATGCCCGATGTCCTTCCCCTCGTCTTCGCTCTCTGGGGTTTTCCGGGAGGCTCTCGACACCAACGACCTCGTCTGTTGCGGAGCTCTTGTCGGAGTCAGAAGCGGCATATCGGCGTCTGTGTCTCTCTCTCTCTCTCTCTCTATCCCTCTCTCTCTCTCTCTCTCTCTGTGTTGGCATCGCTCGGGCGTGTGCATGTCTCTCGGCCAGGTCAGTACCATAAGATCTGGACCACCTTTCGAGCATGTTGGACCATCTCGTAAAGCAAATCAAGCACACAGCATTCGAGCAAAACAACCAACCACCCACCCCTACCCCCCACCCCCCACCCCCCACCCCCCACCCCCAAAAAAAACTACAGCAACAAGAACAAAAGCACGAAACCAAACAATGCACAAGGAATGGACGGACAATCCGCTGGCATGCGCGTCTACCTTGGCTTGGAGAGCCAATTCGACCTGCTTCTAGAAGATCGAGGCCTGGGGCTGGGGCCAAATACTGCTCTCACGTTCTATAGACACTTTGGATGCCGTGACGCCTATAGGCGCATTCGGGGTGGATTCGTCTACGGATGGCGCGGCCGTTGCGTTCGGCGCAGTACGGGGTCGGAGAAAGGGCAGATCCGTCCACGGCACGGTCCACCTCTAGGAGCAGGTCCCGCGCGGCATTCCAAGAGTCGGCTCTCCTCGCTCGCTTCCCCACCGACTGGCGCCACGGCGCTGCAGTGCACGCCGCTGCCGAGACGAGCCCCTGCTCGGCAGTGCATCGCCGATGGATTCAAAGTCAAGTCGGGCATGTCCCTCTACGGGAGGAATATCCAAGAGCAGTCAAGAAAGAGCATGGGGAGGATTCTTCGACTAGGTTTGCCTGGTCTGGGGCATGTGCTGGAGGACGTGCCCGACCTGAGACCAGCCCCTGCTCGGCAACGCATCGCCGATGGCGTGAAAGCGCAGGCCCTGCTCGGCGATGCGCATCGCTCCCCCCGGAGGTGCAGCCGCCCGCCTTCTGGCAGGCCCTGCTGCCGCGCGAGGACCTCCGCAACACGGTCTCCAGGGAGCACTTCGAGCTGGCGCCCCAGGGCGGGGAGCTGCGCCTGACCAACAGGAGTCAGGGGCAGCGACGGGGGGCAACGACGGGGGGGGGGATGGGCCCAGGTCAGAGGAGAGAAAGATACCCATGCCGCTACCCTGCGCCCGTTTTCCCCTTTGGGGGGGCCTCCCGGGAGGCCCTCGTCGCCACCGCCAGGTTCGCCTCATGCCGCCGCCCTGCGCCTTGGTCAGAACGCACCCCGGGAGCCGGGGAGTAGCGGTATCGGTAGTTGTTGACCCCCATTGGCCCATTGATCGCCGATGGGGGCCCGATAGCCCCAGCCTGCCCAGGAGCGTGCGGACTTGCGATCGGGGGCTTATCGCCGATCTGCCAGGGCAGGGCAGGACAGGGCCGGTTTCGATCCCTCCGATTCGGTTCGGTTCGGTTCGATGTCGATAGTTTCCGATGCCGATTCGATTCGATTTCGGAGTTTCAGATCTGGATTCCGATGTCTCAATGGAGGCCTACTAGTCTGCCGATTTCGGCCGATTGAACTTCTCCCGACTCGGCTGCCAGGGGTGATGATTAGGGGGGTGGATCTCATGGCAGGGCGGGGGCCATGGTATCTCCCCAGATTTCATGGCGCCTTTTCTTATTTCAATGCGTCCCCGCCCCCCCCCCCCCCCGGGCCGCGCACATGCCGCCGGCCATGATTTGCGCCCCCTCCTTGACAGGTTGCAGAGCGCAGGCGCGGCCGCTTACACGGTGGTGTGACAGCCTTGGCAGGTTTTTTGACGGCAAGGCAGGCAGGCCTGTTGGCGCTTCCTCGTGGATTGCGGTGGCACAAAGCCGGGATAATTGCAAGCTGCTGGAAGATGATTACGTTGAGTTCTGTAAGCGGTGAGGGCGGCAGCCACGGCTGCCATCTGTCGAGCCCTGTTTGGGGGCACGTGGCAGCGTGCGACACGCGCTGTCCGTACTCGACTTGCTTGCTTGCTCTTGGACGCCCCCCATCTTGGACGCCCCCGTCAGGAGCGTCTTCGGCACCCTCGTGAACAACGAGCTGGTCACGGGCGAGGTCGCGGTGCGCGACGGGGACACCATCTCGGAGGAGTGCTGGTTGCAGAGGATGAGCAGGTACCGATACCGCTGCCTTGGCCTCGTGGTCGCCCTGTTGGGCCTCCTGGGAGGCCTTCGTCGCCACGGCTGGAGTCCTCTCAAAGTGCTAGTCAGAGCGCACCCCGGGAGAGGTCCGGGGAGTAGCGGTATCGGTACTTGTTTGGTCCCCCCGCAGTTGAGACCAGCGGCGGCCTTCCCTCAGAGGAGCAACGAGTCATGATGATGAGATGTTGTAAGATTTCCGGGATGCTCAGAACCTCCTAATGTGACGCACGGGCTGCAGAAATGAGGGCCGTTGGATACCTCGGATTTCTGAACGCATCCTGAGCCAATAGTATCATGGCATCGTCGGGCGGGGCGGGGCTAGGACGAGGATAAGTTCCTTCCAGAGCGTTCCAGAACGCTCTCAGAGCGTTCCAGAACGCGAAGGCCGCGGCGCCCGAGCCATCCTCCAGAGCCTCTGGACCTCAGAGATTCTCGATTAATCCCCACCCGGCTATATCGTAGTCCTGGCTCCGTCTTACCTCTTCCTCCTCCTCCTCCTCCTCCTCCTCCTCCCTCCTCCCTCCTCCTCCTCCTCCTCCTCCTCCTCCTCCTCCTCCTCCTCCTTCTCCTCCGGGGCTGTATTGGCCCGGGCTTCGGTGCAGCATCCCGCAGAGAACGACTGACCCTGGTCTGGACTGACCCCCGGTCCTGCAGATGCCCCAGCCTCTGGGAGGGCCGCCCGCCCCCGACGCCCACCGATCCGACGCGGGTGTGTTTCTGTTCGCCTGCGCGGCCCCAGACGTCCCGACCGCTTCCCCAGCGTCCCGGGTCCGTGTTTGATGCGGGAGCCAGGGCTGGACCTAAACGGCGTTTTTGGTGATTTCGTGGGCCGTTTTCGTTTCGACTGCGTTTTGCGGTCAAGGCGGATTCGAGACAAAAGCGAGGGAAAACGAAAACAAACGACAGCGAAAATCCGAAAATCCCGTTTAGGTTCAGCCCTGTCGGGAGCCTTCGGGCGGGGTCAGTGCGAGCAGGGGTCAGCCAGAGCGCCGGGTTCTGCAGGATCCTGCGGGGCCAGGGGCGGACTGACCTGGGCCAGCACGCAGGATCCTGCAGAATCTTGCAGGATCCTGCAAAGCCCGAATGGCCCCGGCTTGGATTGGCCTGGGTCGGTACATCCCCGAATGATTGTCTCTCGGCGCCCCTCCAACTCATTGGTATTCGAGAAAACCAAAACAAAAACAAAAGCGGCATGAAACATAAGTTGTCGACGCTCCGCGCGGACCGTTGGAAGTTTTTGCTTATACCGTTGTTCGTCCTCTACTAACGCTGTCAAAGCGCACAGTAGGGATGAGCAGTTTGCCCAGGTCACCGTGCATTCATTCCCCTTCGGCCCATCCTTCGCAACTGTCGCTGGCCAACCCCGTTCGAAAGACGGCAGCATGGCCTTCCAAGGACGGTGCATCCTTACCGCGCATGCTTATTATGCGGTTTGACTGTAAGATTCGCCCCCCAAGGGGCGACGCGCGCACCGACAGCTCTTGTAGTGTCTGCTTCGTGGCGGGAACGTTCCGGCCGCACCGCTCGGGAAACGACGTATCCCAAGATGGTTGTATTGCACGCTCGGGTCGGCCGCACGCCTCCGAGGAGGACACATCGAATTGGTGTTGGTATGTCCTTGTGCGTCCCAGTCCAAGGGCCCGAAAACGGCCCCCAGGTGCCGCAATCGAGGATAGAACGCCGGTGGAAAAAAAACATGTCGTCGGAGATGTGGGCTGCCGGTTCGTTCCTGCGCCGCCTCTTGAGTCGAGTCGCGAGGCGCTCCGTTTTCTTGTCTCGTTCTTGAGATTTCCCAAGAAGTTGCCGATCACGCGCTCTTCTGCCCGCGCGTCCTTCCAGATACTCGGCGCTCGGTGGTGGTCGTCGGAGATGTGTCGGAGGTTGATGGACCTCCTACCCTGACACGTCGACCAGCGAATTGGCCGTTTTCGGTTCGCGAGAGGGCGTCGCGGCCGTCATTTCTGCGAGTTTTCGGCCCTGGGCCGTTTCCATTGAAGGGTGGTTTACTAAAGGGAGGGAGCGAGCGGGGGAGGCGGGGGCAGGGGGGAGGAGGCAGGGCGGGGAGCAAGGGGAGGGGAGGGAGGGGAGGATGAGGGAGAAGGTAAGAGAGGGGAGGAGGGAATTATGGAGGGAGGAGGGGAGGGAGGGAGGAGATAAGGAAGGGGAGGGGGGAAACGCGAGGAAAAGGAGGAGGGAGAGAGGGAGGTTTGTCCACCGCCTCATGCGGGGTCGGTCTCGACCGGCCCTCTCCTCCGACCCGTCGGCGTGCGGGCCACGCACTTCCGCGACAGCATCCCCACCGTGCTCTTCCGGTTCCCGTGGGCGGGAGACGTGGGTGCGAATCCGTATCGTTTCACCGATCCCTGTCCCCTGACCCTATCCACATCTCGAGCCCCACCGTCTCACCACCTCAGTTGGGGATACGCCCCGCGAGGCCCGAAGAGAGCAGCCTGCATCCCCATCCAGGGGGGGTAAGTCGGCCAGTGGGGCACAGCCCACGCAGGTGGGCATGGGGGTCGGTTAAACGATGCTCAGGGGCAGTAGATGGGAGGGGGAGAAGGGTGCCCTTTTCGGACCTTCAAAGCCCCCTTTCTGCAGCCCTCGCTGCCCTTTTTTCCATGTTTGGCGCCCCCATTACGCGGCCTCCAAGACATACCCGTACACGCTGATCGTTGAAAGTATGTATTTCTGGTATGCCAGATCTCAATCTACGTCAAGCGCCTTCCTGTTTCAAGAGTCGATGTGCCTTTGAGGTGTTGTGTTATGCTCTGGGGGGGGTGCTTGGAGCCAATGTGCTCTATCCGTTTCCTGGTTCATGTGTTTACCTACAGTGCCGTTTTAAACACATGCTCCGCGTGCGGATCATGTATTAAAAAATACAGGGATTTAGTAGTAAAAACAACGATGATATGATGCATAAACTTACTCGTAAATTAAGCATGTATTAAAAATCCCATGTAATTAAGAATCCCATTATTAAAAATTGCCCTGTACTTCCAACCGACGGGTACCTCCACGACCACCCTTCGGGACTGTTGGGGGGACGGAGCCAGCGTCTCCATTGATCTCACCATCGATCTCGTTCTCGAGCGCACGACCGCTCTCACGCGATCGATCTCCCTCGATCGGTCTCACTCGATCGCTCGCACTCGATCGAGCTCACTCTTGCGATCTCTCTCTCTCTCTCTCTCTCTCTTTCTCTCTCTCTTTCTCTCTCTCTCTCTCTCTCTCTCTCTATCTCTCTCTCTCTCTCCCTATCGAGCTCACTCCTCGGCGATCTCGCCCGATCGAAAACACGATCGATCTCACAACGGTGGGAGCCCGGCGGAGGGAGAGCGCTGACGGAGGGGCGCGCGCCGCCCGCGGACACGGGGAGGTGCGGGGTCGCAAGAGGTGCCTGCTCGAGCCAGACAGCCGCGGGGACGGTGGTGGCCTCGGTCGCAGCCCGAAAACTGGCGTCTTCGGGTCCCCCTCCTCCTCCTCCTCCTCCTCCTCCTCCTCCTCCTCCTCCTCCTCCTCCGTAGCCATTTTGGCTCAAGATGCTTTGTTCCACAGGGGAACACGTGGATACCGCTAGTCCGCGGCCAGTGCTAGGGCGTTTCTGCCCGACGTTTCTCATTCAACCTGTGAGCTCCTGGTGGAGCGTATCGACCCACTCCCAGACGGCAGCAGGCACCACGTGTGTGCGATGGCGCCGCTGTCCAAGAAATGGGTTTGGTCTACCTGCAAGAGCTGCAACAATTGGGCGTACGACTGGAAGATCAAGCGCAATGGGGGCTGCTGCGCCAAGTGCGACTCGTTCGCCACTCTCTGGGCGGACACTCCCTCGGCGTCGCGCAAGCCACCATGGGGAGACCAACCTACAAAGGGCACCTACGCGGAAGTGGTGTGCAGGCAGCTGGTCCACGCCGTCTCCAAGCTGGGGCCCGACCAGAGCATGCAGGAGCAGCTGGAGCACCTGCAGACCACCACCTCCCAGAAGTGCGCCCCGCCCAAGAAGGAGTTACCCAAGTCTGCGGCTCTCAAGCAGGCAATCGGCAAGGTCAATTCCGCCAAGGCTAAGCTCGACGGAGTCACCAAGCGACACATGGACGCTGAGAAGGCGCTCGCCAAGCTCGCTGAGCAGGTGGCGCAGGCAGCGGAGGAGGTCTACGAGGCACAGCTGGAGCACTCGAAGGCCCTGGAAGAATACAACATGCACTCAGTGGCGGAGGGCACGGCGGCTAAGCCCGAGCAGACGGGCTTCCAGGTGGACGAGAGCCTCTTCGCCGACGAGGAGGATTTGGAACAGACTCAGAAGGACCAGCTTGCAAAGTTCAGGGGGGACGCGAAGTCCTTGCAGGAGCTGCTCGAGCGCGCCAAGACGCAGCAGGAGGCTCTGCTCACCATGGTCGAGAGCGCGAAGAAGATCAAGGCGGATCATGCGGCAAAGAAGCGCAGGATCAACGAAGGAGGGCAAGCACACGCACATGTTCCACCACCTGCTCAAGACGCCAAGCCTGAGGCACCACCACAGCAACAAGCCAGCGATCCAGACGCAGAAAAGCGCAAGGCAGAGGCGATCGCCAAGCTCATCGAGGAGAACAGGGAGCGTACCAGGGCGGCATCTCAGAGGGCGACCAACTCTTCACCTACGGCTGGCACGGCTGCTGCGGGCGGCGCTACGGGCTTTTCTCCTGGTCGGGCTGGTATTTAGCCCGCCATGGCAGCCGCCTGCAGCGCTGGACAGGCCTCCAGCACCGCCGCCCCCCGAGAGGTCTGCCTTCCCTGGTCCCCCTGGGCCGTCGCCCCCGTGTCTCGGGGATCGCACCTCCTCGTCCGCGCCAGATGTGGACGCAGCTTGTCAAGACTGGCGGCGCAGCCAGAGTGAGAGAGCTCGCAATCAGACATGTGAGACAGCCAAGCCAGCGAAGGTCACCAGTATTTTCTTCAGCAACATCACACAATGGGGCGAGAAGCCTCAGAAGTTCCTCAACGAGAGCCAGGAACTGGCTCAGATATGTGCCTTCACGGAGTCCCATGTGCCGCAGTCAGGCATCGCGAAGCTGAAGAAAGACCTGAGCAAAGACGGATGGAAAGCAGCAGTCACGGCAGCAACACCGACGCGACGCTCGAAGGAAGGCAACAGCGGAGGCGAGCTGCTCATCGCCAAGGCGCACTTGGCGACCACAACGTTCGACGCGATGAGGGAGACCATCAAGGCCCGAGGAGGACAGGACCCATTCAGAGGGTTCACGGCCATGACTACCCACCTCAGCGGAGGAAATGTGGTT